CCCACTAGTGTCCGCCTTCTCTTTTCGTTCGGTATCGGGCTTCACGACAAACCTGAAAACTTTGGATCTCCAAATACGCTGAGATACTCTTATTCCTTGTAGTAAACATCATCGAGTCAGTAGAAAAGGCCTGTTTCTGGTATACTTTCAGAAGAACGCCGTTCAGCCCCTTAAGGGGCGGGGAGTTTATTCTTGCATTCTCGTTAAAAGCTTTCTCTATGAACAACCGAGTTCCGGCGTAGCCACATTAGACCGAGTTGCCACAACCAGCCCGTCTTGGCCACTCTGCATTCGGTTAATTGCCGGTTAGTTAGCTGACAAATGACACTTTGTTCTCGACTGGTGCACATTTCGCGGAGAAAAGAGCGCGCGCATGCACGTCGGGATTTAGACGTCAGGGGTCCACGGAACAGAATGCCTTGAGAACGCTGCCTAAGCGCGCAAAGCTTTCGGCACCACGACAGTTTTGCATGGGTTTACAACCTGTCTGCTCGGGTTGGAAGATAAAAACTGAGCAGCAACACTTTTATGCCGAAATCAGCAATGTTTGATTAACCAGCAAATTAGCAGGCCTGCCTAACGCAAAAAACCGCAATCTCTGGGGAGAAAGTAATTTACTTAAAACAGAAGCTGCTTAGGGCGCCATCAAAATTATGCCTTCGGCCAGAGATCTTTGTCGCGAAGCGGATGAATAAGAGAGCGCAAAATGACCGTGGGTGTTTTGAATCACCACGACAGGTTGAGTGACGCTCAGACTTGCTTGATCCGATAACTGTATAAACGGTATAAAAAGACGTAAGAAATATGAAAGCTATAAGTGTTTATTGCTTCTTGAGTAAATAAAGGTCCTTTTAATAACGGGAAAATACCTTCTTGATATTCGACCCTTTTCAAGCAAATTAAATGAAAATCTGGAGGCAGAGGCCGGACCAAGGCTAACATATGTGGAGATTACCATGAGGCTGAGGAAGCGGAGGACAAAATTTACCTCTCTTTTCAAAATTGAACGTGCTAGTCCATGCGTAATGTTTCTTACAGCATTTACAGACGCCTTTAATAATTAAAAAGTGACCGTTTTTATAAAAAATACTTTATTTTAAATGGTAGGGGGCGCACACCGATCGTTATTACAGTAGATGTGCTAACTCATGAAATGTCAACCAAAATTTCGAAATGCGTTCTCGTTTCGAAAAGATAAGTTAAGTAGTGTTGTAAAACTAATCCTGATGCAGCATAAATCTATGATGATCCAATTACCGCAGGGTGTCGGCTTTCGAAAGAACTTATTTCGGCTGCATGCAAGACCCGTACTCTGCAAAAAATGACTACTTAAATAGCATGCAATTTTCTTATTGATTTTCGATGCTCTTGAAACTTCAGTTATATGTCATGGAAAACATGCATAAAAATATTCATTCTTTTACTTATTCGGTAGAAAATCACGTCTCATTCCAATTTCATATTCAAAAGAAGAGTATAATTCGGTTTTGAAAAAGTTTCTAATTGTGAGATTTTTAATACCGTTAAATGGCCGTTCATGAAACATCATGTATCTGCATTTACGAATGTGGCTTGTAAAGTTAACCATATTGCTCAAATCAACTGCTTAATTTTATGAACCTCATATAGACTTATCTTAACACCGTAGAGAAATGCATGGTTTTCCGTAGACGGAACATATAAAGCTTGTAGTTTTGAAACCCTGAATGCAAGTGTAATAGCAGGTCGGGTTCAACATTATTCGGGAATTAGAAAAGTTTTTTAAAACCGAATTATTCTCTTCTTTTGAATATGAAATTGGAATGAGACGTGATTTTCTACCGAATAAGTAAAAGAATGAATATTTTTATGCATGCTTTCCATGAAATATAATTGCATTTTCAAGGGCATCGAGAATCAATGAGAAAATTGCATACTACTTAAGTAGTCATTTTTCGCAGAGTATAGATCTTGCATGCAGCCAAAAATAAGTGCTTTCGAAAGTCGGCACCCTGAGGTAACTGGATCATGATATATTTATGCTGCATCATGTTTAGTTTTACAACACTACTTAATTTATCATTTCAAAACGAGAACGCATTTCGAAATTTTGGTTGACATTTCATGAGTTAGCACACCTATTGTAGATGCCAACTCCTCCAACAGGTATCTAGACCTTCCTGCGCCACGATATACGCTCTGATCGGACAAGATAGTCACTAGTAGTTCAAAAATGTCGAGAAAATACGCCCCGTTGACTAATTTACCCGAAAATGGAGCACATGCGCAACTGATTACCGCATTCAGGTGACGATACGCAACGCAGAAGATTGCCAAAATTCCCAAACAACAGCCAGAAGGCCGACGTGTCCGTTAATAGAGTTGGCATCAGACGCCCAGATCTCCTGAAATCTGCTTCACGCCTATAAAGTCCTGCGCCACTATATACGCCATGATCGGGACAGCACAGTCACAGGGAGCTCGAAGATACCGAGCAAATACGTCCCGCTGGCTAATTCGCTCGAAAACGGAGCAAAGGCGCAACTAGCCACCCCATTCAGTTGACGATACTCAACGCAGATGACCGCCAAAATTCCCAAACAACGCCAGAAGGCTGACGTGTCCGTTAATAGAGTTGGCGTCAGACGCCCAGATCTCCTGAAATCTGTCCTTATTTTTCCCTCATCTTTCGACTATACAAAACCTTCATTTTTGTTGTTTATGCTTGGCTCCGAATGCCTAGGCTGGTGCAACCAACCGTTTCAACAACTGCGCGTTCACCGTCATTTCAACAAGAACCTGTGATCCGAGCAGTAGTGGTAATGATGATTAGATTAGTGTAATCTGCGATGGTTGCTGGAATATTGCTCATAATATGCTAGCACTCATTTTTGAATCAAATAAGGATGTTCCACGTCAGTCCGTTATGTTGCCTCTTTTTAATGCTGTAACTTTCATTTAAATGCCTTAAAAGGCACTTTGGTGGAACTTTGGAATAAAATAATGAGCGAGAGCCCGTAAGGCACAACGAGACAAATGTGGTCCGTAGAAACAATCGGTGAGTGCCCCTATACTATTGTATATCCTTATTCGCAACCGACAGACAACGAGCCCGTGGCTCAGTGGTAAGAGGTGCTGAACTTCTAACTGACAGGTCGCGAGTTCGAACCCAAAGTGTTCCACACTACGTAGTTGGATATGACTGGCTGACGATAGGTAGTAAGCCAGAAATGGCCATTCCAATCTCCCTTGTCTTTGTCGGTAATTCCATTCCGCCTATATCATGCGCCGCTGTGCGGCTGCTGGTTGGGCTCGAGAGAGAGAGAGCCCGTAAGGCATAACGGTACGAGTGAGTTCCGTAGAAACGATCAATGAGAGCCTCTCTACCGAAATAAGAACTTTGTATAGGAAAAGATCTCCGCAGAAGCGAACTCTGCTGCCCAGGCAGTAGTTTGTGCTGTCCCTTCAGGTAAGCAGTTTATAGGCTTAGTATTATTTACCCTACAAAACATTCAGAGGACCGACTAAACTGATATTTAAACTCTGGTCCACTGAACCTCAGCACGATGTACAGTGTTGTTATTCTCTGGATTCCCCTTCTGACTCTGCAAATTCACCGGCGGGAGTTAACTGAATTGTAAAGACAGTGAGATGCAGCACTTCATCTGTAACGCCCCACGACCTCCATAGGGTTGTTTGAATGAGGAACCACTTTTGGCGCGCGGACCTAGGACGGAGATGGCGTAACCGCGGGCTGGTGAGGATGACCAGTTTCCCTTCCTCTCACTTCCAGCGATCTACTTTTCCTGCGACGTACCGTGAAGCTCGTATCGTTCTCCTTCTCTCTACGTCGGCACCTCCCTCGGCCCTTCCCTGCAGATGCCCACAGCCCTGCGTTTCTCATCGGTTAACTAGCTGGCATGTCGGTATCACCCCTCCACCCGGACAGGTTTCTCCACAGTTGTAACTCAATTTGCTTGTACTATTGCCTGTTATTATACCTTCTCGTCCAGTTGACGTTCCTTCTTCCTTTATGTGCGCATGAGTACCGTGACTTACTAACGACCCCATTCAGATCAACGGTAGCCAGGATCTCTTTCCATTGCTTCGCTACTTGGTTGTGTGCTACGCTTGACGTCCTCGGCCGCCACACAGTCACATCAAGCCCTTTTATTAGTCATTTAAGTGATCGGCGTTTAATCATAAAACACCCACAAAAGCAGGCATTATACAAATTTTAACCACCTTGCCGAGCTTCCCTCAAGGTGCACAAGGATTGGGAGATTCCGTACTGCATGCAATGAGAGGCCATCACGTCTCAGCGCGTCCGCGGCAACGCAGAACTGCCAGCCTGGCTGTCCCGACTTCCGTCCTGAAGAAGGCTCACCAGGATAACAGGGACTTTGGCTTATGCATCCGATGTCAGACTACCACCGGAAGTAGCTATCGAAACCCGTCCTGGTCAGGACAGAAACAACGGCAGCTGCACGGATGGCGATCACATTTCTTTACCGGCAAAATGACTCTAGTGCATCACAAATTCTACTCTAGTTCGGGTTCCGCATGGTCTACCTCCTGTTCCAATTGCCCCATGTGTCCTGCATCCGTGTTTTTACATAGCTTCTGCATCCCCCTCGCTGGCCACATAACCTCCTTATAACGACTGGTCTCTTCTGTTGACGTTAGATGAAAGTAGAGGGTGCCTCCGAAAGTGAGTGGGAGATCCAAACTGTTAATCTCAGCCTGCATTATACTGGTACTGCCAATAGAAGCGAAGAGACGAGTCTCAGGAAGTAATCTTGAAGAAGGAGACACAATCGCCGAGACAAGAGATTTATTAGCCTGACGTTTCGGATTCCTACTCGAATCCACCATCAGAGACAAAAAAGCAGAAGCGGGTGGATGTTGCACAAGGGGCTGCGGTATTTATAGGATGCAGTAGCCATGCTACCGCATACATATGAACATTCACGGCTCCCCCTTTCATCCGGGATCGTCGGACTTGGTGTGATCATTGCTTGATGGCCAACATTCGAGTCGATAATTGCTGTAATTTCACCACGGTCTCTTCGTCAGCAAAATTCCTGGAGAAACTCAAAGGGGTAAGCATCCATCCAAATGAGGTCATGGTATCTTTTGATGTTACATCCCTTTTTACTTCTATTCCCCAGGACCTGGCGATCGAGACAATTGAGCTGCTACTACAAAGCAAATACGATGAAACGGAGAACCGTCTTGGACACGCCCAAGTCCTTCAGCTCCTGAAGCTCTGTCTCAGGACGTACTTCACGTTCGACGTGACAATCTACGAACAGGTGAAGGGCACACCAATGGGTTCGCCGATTTCGGGATTCATCGCCGGGGCGGTCCTGCAACGGTTAGAGTCGCTGGTTTTCCAACACCACAGACCGCAATTCTGGGCTTGCATTATACTGGTTCTGTCCATCATGCCCTAGAAGGTAAAGTCAGGAGACTCCGGTAGATGGACATGAGCTGTAAATGTCGACCTGGAAGAAAAGCAAGTATTGAACTGATGATTCCAAGGAGGGTTTGATAGACAGTATGTCCGCGCCATGGCCCATTGCCTTCGAGGCAGAAATAACCAATGCGTTTGTTCTCGCACCTGCATAGTACGGTAACAATCGGGAGATGGCACCCAAAAAAATCCGTTACCTTTGAATAATACCTTTAACAGTGAACTCAAACGCCTTCCGGCTATATCAGCGGATGCAGGCCTACTTTGATGCACTACTTGGACTTTCCGCGACGGCCTAAGATGGGCTGGCCGAAAGAACATCGCAGGAGGTTACATGGACGATGGTAGCTGTTACCCAACCTTCCCCATCGTTATACACGCGCACCTGAATATACGGCATACATTCGCATTTTGGCAGTTTATTACAAAACAAAATCACTTTTAAATAGGATAAGTCTGCACAACATGGGACAGGAACAGTTCCCAGACATCTGTCAAAGACTTGTCATTGAGAGCAAACCAAAGACGATACCTTACTTCACCTATGTGAGCCCACACAGCTGGACCACATACAGGGTCTCCCTCGTGGAGTTTGCTTTTCAGTCTACTCCAGTATGCCTCAATGGCATTGGTGTGCCGTCCGGTGGTAGTGTCCTTGAAGTTTTTTTTTTGTGGTTAACAGAGAAATGTAGATAACCTTCCACTCGTCCGTTACCACTATGCCTTTCTTGACCCATTTTTTAATAACGGAGCGGAGAGCGGGCCAACTTCGATCATACACCTGTTCAAATAAGGCTTTCCGTCGACTACTATCGTACATCCCCACCAGTTGCCACCCATAAAACCCCTAATACTACCTGTCCCGTAAGACAGGCTGCTTTGGGTAGGCGGATTTTTTGGGTGCCATCTCCAGATTTTTACCCATAGTACCCACGTAGGTCGACGTGACGATTAACCTTACTGGTTACGCATCGAAAAACTTCCGCGAGTACTTGCAGCTTGCAACGGAATGAGGTTGGAGACCCTACTGAAATGTGGGCTAATTTTGGCTGGACGCATAAAAGTGGCGATAGGCGTTCCGACCCCTACACGGCCTGTTTATGTTCAGTGAAGTTAATCGTAGAGCGTAGACCTCTGTGGCCGACATGCACATGTTAAAACGAGCGTCACGCAGTAAACAACCTTGCCATATTGCCCTTTTCGAGTTGGATAATGGATGGGCTGAAGTTGTCGTCTGGACAGGTGGGACAAGCCTCTTTTGTGCAGTGTGAATGTCAAATAGCCGGTTTTGGAAATATGCCTTCAGGAACTTCTTTTTGTGCAAACCGGGGGACAGAAAATCTCTTTGTGGGCATTTAAGCGTTTCTACCCGCCTGTCTATTTGTCCTGAAAAGATCAAAGATATTGGTTTGATATTGGCGGAGCTCGTAATGTTGTCATTAGTCAAACAGTCTACTAAGCAAAACATCGGAGACCGTGGTGGCCACGAGTGGGAGAGACTATGCGCATCCTAGGTTCTTGTTTAAAAGAAGACGAAGTCATAATCACTGGGACGGTAGATTTATTGGCCTAGGCTTTCAATTTCGAACTGGAGCTCATCATCAGAGACTGTGAGAGTGCCGCAGGGTGTGGAAATTTATGCCGTTGTGCCGTGAGGGAGGGAGGGAGGGGGGGTGACTACGTCCCTGGCTAGGTCTGGTTTGAGCTGCCTGACCTCCACTGATATCCCAATTTGCGGATTTTGCCGCATTATCGAATATGTCAGTCCTCTTAAGTATTTAAATGCCAGCGAATGTCACCTATCGTGGGGTATACACGCCAGGGTTAGTAAATTTTTTTGGCCATTAATATTTAGGTAATTGTTCATAAATTGTGTTCAAAATCGTGAAAGGTGTCCAGTATCAACATTTCCTATTGCTTGCAATGGCTGGCGTGTCAAACCAAAGATCTATTTTTGATTTTGCGTGATATGCTGTTTTAGTTTGTTCATTTTGTTAGATGATTAAAACTTCTGCCAACTACTGGCACAGACAGGCTGGTATTATAGTCCCCCTTAACACTTTTTATATGCATCCAATATGGTTACACCTGTCTACGCCCTAAAGGGAATTGTTTGAGTCCGCCTTCAAATATATAAACAGAACTTACTGAAAAAGAACTGCATCTGTTTTACAGTGTGTTACTTACGGAGAGAACTACGAAAACCTTGTGCTGAAACCACATACAGGACACTAGCCGCTAACTGAAGAGCTAACATTCTTCTCAAAGACCATATCTCAGCACTGACGTTCTTTTAAATGACTGCACAAACTCCCCCATTGTTCCATCTGTAAAAACTTCAGTGGTAGCCCGCTGATAGTTAATCTCGTTGATTTGTCTACTACTGGCAGGTTTCCTGCTGTAGTAATATTTTTATGACGAAGCCCTGTTCAGACGACTAAGAGGTTTTGTGCCGTCTATTCGCCTCATGCCATGCCTGTTTCATCCTAAATCGGCGGACTGTCATTCGTTGTGTTGGCTCTACAAATTTAGATTTGAAGTTATCCAGCACGCCAACTGAGGTCTCCGTACTCCCTGACATGGGTAAGTCAGTAGTGTAAAATATAAAATAAAAACGGCCCTGATGCAATGTCATGCAGACTCCGCCATAAACTAACAGTACAGGAAATATAACCTGTCGAACAAACACCAAAATGGAAGAGAATATGCGCATCCCGGGTTCTTGTTTAAAAGAAGACGAAAGAACGATCACGGGGACAGTACATTTATTGGCCTTAGCTTTCGAACCCGAATTGGAGTTCACCATCGGAGTCTGCATGCAGCAACGTGTGGACATTTATATCGCCGTTCCTTGCCGGGGGCAGAGAGGAGACTACGTCCGTGGCCAGGTAAGGTTTGTGCCGCCTGATCCACGGTGGTCCCCCGGCGTGGTGACGCCGTTTGTACTTCGCGGAGATGTGGCCTGCGTCACCTGGCTGCGTGGGCGGAGTGCGCGAAAACACACAGGCAAATCAATGTGTCTATTGATAGAGTTGCTGTCCGACACTCACGCATCCAACAGGTCTCGATCCGTGTTGTTGCCGGCTCGCGCCAATGTCCGCGTCTTGGCGAAGTCGAACTCATGGCTTTCCTCCAGCGTGAAAGTGGCGACTTGAGATAGTGTGTCGCCTCTCCGAACGGCCCGTTTGTGCTCAAGTATTCGTGAGTTAGGACGACGTCCTAACTGGCCTGTGTAGTGGCAAGGACTGTTGTGGCACGCGATATGGTCGACTACGCCCGACTACTTATCTGCGTCGTTGCGCCGTGAGGGGGTGGGAACTACGTCCGTGGCTAGGTCTGGTTTTTGCTTCCTGGCCACAATCAGGTGGCGCAGCTCACATCGCCGAGAAGTACAAACGTCGTCCCCACGCCGGGGGGCCATTGTGGGTCAGGCAGCAAAAACCAGACCTAGCCACGGACGTAGTCCCCACTCCCTTACGGCACAACGACATAAATGTTCCCACGCTGCTGCATTCTAGCAGTCTCCGATGATGAACTCGAGTTCAAGTTCGAAAGCCAAGGCCAATAAGTCTACTGTGCCAGTGATCGTGCCTTCGCCTTCTTTTAAACTGTAATAGCGATTTCTGTTGGGGCGTTGGACCCCTAACCAACGAACTGGGAGACCGAGCCTCAGGGGATGCAAGCCTTGAAGTTGGATACGACTGACTGATGACGGCCATTAAGTCGAAAGTGGCCACTCCAGTTTCTATTGTCTTGGTTGGCCAGTTTTTTCGAGTATAATGTTGGCAGTTAGACCATCGCCGGTGCAAACGCGGCAGTGGTACGGAGAAATGGCACCAACTCTCAGGTCGCGGCCCATTCGACGAGACCCGGCCGCACATTCAAGTTCGATGAAGTCGAAATTCTCGCGAGAGGGGATAATCGTGTGAGCCGCGAGTTGTTTGAGTCATGGTTCACGGGGCCTCAGTCTATAACCAAGTGCAACGACATCCCCACTCCATATTCCGTGTTGAGGCATAGGCTGGCCAAAGTAATTGACCACTTGGGGAGCGCGCAAGCCGGTGAGCCAGATGGCCGAGCAATCATCACGTCAGCATCCAACACGGGTGATGAGATGTCAGCAATAAATAACACGCATGCCGGCCATCAAGCCATTATCGCACCAGCGGGCAACAATCCTTGATGAAGGGGAGCTCGGTTAATTGCTGTAGGTATGCGGTGGCATAGCGACTGCATCCTATAAATACTGCAAATTCCTGTGCACGAGTGACCCTATTCTACCACTGTCTCTGATGATGGGTTCAAATGAGAATCCGAAACGTCAGGCAAAGAAAGCTCTTGTTCCAGCGATCGCATCCTCTTCTGGTCAGTTAGACCATCCTTTCTGACGATGCCTACCGTCTGCTCCACAGCAGGCCGAGGACTGGCACATGCGCTCCTCCCCTCCTCCCTTTCCTGGTCGCGGTACCAATACATAGTCAAGAAGATCGGAAGTGGGAGAGGACACAGGCGTTTGGCGCGGTCGGAGCCGCCCTAGGCCTGTCATCACACCCGGCTCGGATCCTACAGAGTGGGAGTGCCGTAAAGACCACATTAAGAGGGTGTCATAGTAGTCTGGCTCTTAGACCCGCAGTCGGCCGCTCCGCACAAACACACAACATTGGGCTAACTGCGAGGTCAAAGTTATCCAGTCAGTTGGCTACCTTCCAAGCCACAGCTTTTAGTGTACCCTGATAGCTTTAGGCGTGGCAGATTGTTTATTGTGAGGGAAATGCGCTGAGCCGTCGACCTAACTCTCCCCAACCACTGTCCGAGCCGATCAACTGACAGGCGCAACGAATGGGCGCGGTGGCTGACATGCTCTAATGACCTTGTCTGCGCGCGCCACATGCATGACGTGGCCCGTCAAATACAAGCACGAGGATTTCACACAACGGGGATTGAGCGACGTACATTTCACATGCGTGGGAGTGCCGAAGG